GCCAAGAAAACTTGAGAATAACCAGACCTTCAAAGAACTGATCACTGATACATACTATATGTATGTATCAGCCCAATGGATTTCAGTGCTCCTCATTTTTGAAACAACAAAAAAAGTCAGCTGCTTTACTTTTCTACTTGAGAAATGATCTAGAAATTCAGAGAAAACATACTATTATATAGGAATGTCAATTGCTCTCATGATTTAAAGCCCATTCTTCTACCAAAAATCGCAAATCAAACAATAAAACCGCATGTCCTGAGTGTTATCATCACAGAATGTTCCTGTTATCACAGAATCCAAAAAATGGCCTGTTACCAGCTTTGTGTTTTACCTGTGCAGTGGCTTGTACATGCAGGATTTGACAAAGGTCAAACAACTGCCCAGTAAGGAGATGTTGAATATTGACTGCTGTGTGCCAGTGGAAGGCTGTACAGAAAACTTGGGAATATTGATTTTGATTATTTTCTTGATGATGCTGGTTATAAGCTATATGATTACATTACTTTGTAACATTTCATAATCCAGCAGACCCTTTTCATTACATTTCGCAAAGATTTATTCCAATTCTCTCAGCCTAACATGAGACTTATATTTCAATTAAGTTCCCATATGCTCACGATGATGCGACAGAAAACATCTATCCGTTCATATGCAAATTGAATCTCTTTTTGCTTGTGAATTATATGTAGTTATTGTATCTTTACAGCAAGGTTTAAAGAGGAAAGGCAAAGTTATTTATCATTCTTCTTCTATGCCACCAGCAGCTAGGAGAGAAAGTATACATGAAGACCCAAAGGGAAGAAATAAAATTTATGAACATAGAGTAAAAAAATAACAAGATATGATTGTATAATGAGTATAGCTGACTGTCTGAGTATAGATACAGTTAGGGTCAAACATATTTGAAATTAAGTCAAATCCCAAATGTACTTAATCACATTTGAAAGAGATGAGCTACAGGAACAAAAGGACCAGGTCTACATCATCTTCACCTGAATTACATTTCTTAGGACTTCTTTGTTTCATTAAATAACTAAAAAGATTTAGAAAGATTAGCTTTGTTTCTAAAAGAAGGCCTATGACTATAAACCTATTTTTATTTAGGGCTTTTAGAAGATACAGTAAATGGTACATAATTGCTTTATCAGTGTTCTCAACATAAGTCATAACTTCAGTGCCATCAAAGATAAAGTTTTGGAAAATCAAGCTTCTCTATAAATAGATATATGAAGGAATGATGGAACAATTATTACTTTTCCATCCTATTCTTTGTATTATGTGAAGATAATTTCTTTTCAGTTTAAATCATTGAGCATTCTGCCCTAATGTGTTGTCTTCCTACAAACAATCATTTCCAAATGAGCTGGAGAACTGGAAACAGTCACAGGAGCGATCCTTCTACTTTATAATCCTTTCCTGAATACTTTAATGAACAATGATGCAATAATTGCTTTTACAGATATTTTTAACTGTTCCAAATAGTACAGACATAAAGCAGGATTAAGGAATTGGAAGTCATAAAAATCTACATCTCTTCTTTCCTTTTTCTCTCAGACTTACTTTGAGGGCACGGCAGATTTCAAAACCACCACTGACATTTATATCCAATGCTTTAAAAAATATAATAGAGTCAAAATCTCACCACACACAATTCAAAATTAGTTTCTTCAGGTTTATAATCGAGTCACAATTTCACTCTGGGGCATTACTTCTTAAACAAGAGACAGAAGCACTTTTCCTCCACTAAATTTGGTAATTTGAAGTCTGGAAGAGGAGTAAAAGAGAGAGGACCGGGCAGCTTTCTGCAGTGTAACCCTGACTGTCCCCGTTCCCCTACAAGGTGACAGGACTCAGAAAGGTTCAGGGGATGGGATGAAAAACGGTGATCTGGTTCTCCTATGACACATGGAAGGCAGAAATCCTGTGGGATTTTTCAAAAGAAACAACAAAAGTTGCTGTAAAGGGAAATAGTCAGGTAATTCCACTACCTGAACCTACATTTTGGTCACTAGCTAAACTAGCAGTTTATGAGGAATTAAGCATTAGTGGGTGGAGGACAGGGCACACTGGTAAGGCCAATTTCTATCTCATATGGGCTAGTCTTAGAATTTTCATTGAAATTTATTTTCTTGTTTTTTTGTCAAAAAACAAAGTCGAAGTAGAACTGGGGTAATGACGCAAAAGAACATCATAAATGTTTTCCATCCCTACTTTTTCTTTGCTGTTCTCAAGTAAAAAGAAAAAAACCCAACACAGTAGTACTATCAGGTCAGGTCACAAGTCCATCTACTCCAGAACCCCATGAGACAGTGTGACTGCTGGCCCTTTGCCGACTTTAACACACGGTCTGTTGCACTGAGCAAGAATTGCATGGTCAGATGTGTATTACACTATGTGTTTAAGCCTTCGTGTTCTGCTTACAATCCTTTTTATTGTTTTCCGTGTCCTAGCTATATTCCGTGAAGAGCTGCTGAGCTTTGTTTAGGCACAGCTTTCGATGAAAGAAGACTGGCAATGAGATGAGACAAGATGAGTGTCTCCACAAAACCAATCTGAAAATGTATCTTGAAACAATGTTCTGGGATTCTTCCTGTCCTTGGGCAGGATTTTTATGTGCAAGTGGGAGATAATGCAAGCTGAAGAGATCTCTTTTAAAAGTTTTACTAATTTTCATTAGACTGGTTCATATGAGTTCTTTGGGCCCCTCAGTGGAGGATTTTAATCATATTGTGCAATGCTAATCTCTGTAATTCCACATTTGGGAGCCCACTTTTCAAAGTGTAAAGAACTGACACTGACTTCATAAAGAACATTTTTCCAGAGGGAACACAATGGTAGAGCCATAGAGAAGCATCATAAGCCAAAAACTGAAAAAAAAAATCTAATTGCCCTAGGAGAAATAAACCATTCTCAGTTTTCTTCCCTTGTTCTGTAGAACGTGCATGAATAAAATATGTGTGAATAATATTTTGTGAGGGAGAAAACTTTGCCCCTTTCTACTTACAGGTATCAGACGCATCATCTCTAAAGGAAAACTTAAAGAAGAAACTGAATTTCAGCATCTGCAAGAATGGAAGAACAGGTTTCATAAAAACAGGAAACAAGATCAGCATGAGTGAAAATACGGACTCAGAGGGAAGAAAAGTCATAAAATATTTGTGTTTCTCTAAGTCTTAAAATCTGATGCACTGCCAAGTTCCCTAACAGTTTCTGAAACCACAGGTTTTCTCCGGCTCTCCATTTTGAGCATTATTTTGCTTAGCACCTCTGAAATGCTCTCACTATTCAGAGCTAACATTTCCCTGGGACTTGTTCAACCTGCCCCACCTCTCGGGCCGGGCTGAGCTTGGCTCCTCCGAGTGTGTCGCACAAGGATGGCAGCAAAGGCCACCTGCAGAACCAAACTCAACCGTCCAGATAAAGCCGTTCTGGAAAAAAACGCATACCTTTAAAGAAAACAACTTGAATGATTCCTGAGGGTCTCTGAGCTTAATAAATGGCAAGAGCTCTGAGATAATAGTACAGTCATGTTGTAATACCGTTTAATGGCATTTGCTGTTAACATTATTCATACAGGGATGCTATTGACTGGTAATTCCTTGAAAAGACTATCTTTTATAAAACCTGTATTACCGAAATCCTTGTGCCTTTTACCGTTATGCAGATTGCAGATGACTTCATAAGATCTAATAATGCCTCAAGTGACAGAATGCTACAGCACCTGACTAAATTTAAAGAAGAAAAAGAGAAAAGCAGACCTATAATTACTGTCCCTGCAAAGAGAAAATGCAGGCACTGTGCCAATTCTTGCATTAACTATCCCAAATCTACTAAGATATTTCTTCCACCTCAATTAATTTAGATTGCAGTGTTAATAATAACTTCTGCACTCTTGATCTCAGGGTGCAATACCATTAACACTACAATGCTTTAACATAAAAACTTCTACGTATCTTACAAAAATATGAAATGCATATTTTAGAAAATTTACCAAGCAGCTGAAGCTTGGATAATGCACTTATTATGTTTGCAATGCTCCCACATTTCTTCTAATATATGACACAGAGGGTCATAAAAGGACCTTAATCTATGAGGCCAGAATATTGCAAGATAATGGATTTTTTGCCCACACCAGAAAGTAACAGCATTACAATGGATGCAGTAACCTCTCTTAATGTTTTTTTTTTATTACCCTACCTACTCTTTGTAGTTTTATGTAAGAACTACTGTACTTTTATTTGCATATTGCTCATCTCTTCCTCCAGTTTGAAACATGAGATACTTTAGCATTTCATAATCTACCCTGTTTACTACAGAATAGTTAGAGGACCTTAGACCGAAGGGAAAAAAGTCTGCATTTCAGTGACTGTGTCATGATATGGTCTTTGGAAATTTATATATACGTCACAGGAAATTTATAAAATGCAAGATTTCAGGATTATGGTACTGGAGGTATATACATCACAAGAAAGCTGAGGAGTGATGAGTTTTCTGATTGAGATCCTTTTTGCTGAAATATAACCTATCAAGGAAATCTCTTACAAAAGCCAGGAAAGCATTAGATGTTTTGTGTGAAAATTTAGGGTTTAGCTATTCAAGACTTCACAAATGCTCGGGCAGCTGTTATGACCCTGAGTCATAACAACTTTAGAGAGGAGATATGATCTAATCGTCATTGGACTTCCTTTGCATTTAACAAGCATTAGTTCCCTAAGACCTGCCCTCCAACAGGTTATGCAAGATTGAGTTTGACTCTTTTTCACTTCCACCATTTACAAAATTTCTCAGGGCTCTCTAATCTCAGCATCCCAGAGGATTCCTGATCACTCTCGAAAGCACACAGAGGATGGAGGAGAGAGGATTGTGGAAAATGTTATTCCTTCTCCCATTTTTTTCTCTGGGCAGTCAATTAATCAATCAACCTAGTCTTCCACGCAGTCTACCCAGTCTACTCAGTCTTGATATCTAAATACGAAATGGCTATAGATTGCACATACCTTTTCTATGATACTTTGTTCCCTCAGCATGTTTGCCACAACTTCTTGAATCCCATCAGGCAGATCAGTGAGATCTACTACTACTTTGAATGTAACTGAATTTAAAAAAAAGGTGAATAAAATAACACAAGCCTACGTTTAGAACTAAAAGCTAAAGCACATGCTACAGAAGCTTCATCCATGCAAGTATTTGTATGTTGTGGGTGATGTCTGTTGTCAGGAATGACAGTGAGGGCTGAAGGAAAGAAGAGACAAAAGTTTAAGAAAGTTGTATCTTCTGCGTATTAGTAGTAGCACGTGTTCCAAGATCCTGCTCCTTTCTTTAAGGTGATGGTGAAGGATACTGCTGCCCAGGGACCAGATACGGTCTGCAACTTCACTTTAATGGTTTATAATCAAGAGAAATTTTTTCCATATTACTATTGCACAGCATTAAGAGGAGTACTAATGTGTGATTCATCAAAGGGATTTTACTGGCCCGCTCAGCACTCAACCAGGAAAAGATTTCCCATTTGGGCTTCAAGTGTTCTGAAAGTTTTGACAAATCATGTAAAAGGCACGACCTTAATTCCTTATGACTAATCAAAAGTAAGCTTTAATTCTGTATGAGAGCCTCTATTCAGGGATTTACTGGCTTTTTTTTTCCATTTAACACCTTTAGTTAATTCATCTGAACATTTTAGAGAACTGGTTTTTAAAGAACACCTATACGCTTACTCCTTTCTCATTGTTCATCATTATATCATTTTGCTACTATCCCAAGAGTATTCAAACTTCACAGTCTTTTGGAACATTCATTTTGGAATATCTGCAGTACCCCTTAAACCAGTCAGAGGAGGGTCGACATAGTAGCAGTCATAGTAGTAGTGTTGGTAGTAGTATTTAAGGAAACTTTTAAATGTGGCCTAGAATTACAAGGAGAAGCTGCTCCCTGGGATAACTCTGCAAATTGCAATAGAACTGCATTACTGTAGAGTTAGGTCTCCACAGTTTAAGAAGCAGAAATTATTAAAATGTCATGATTAAAAATGAGGAAGAAATGTTTGCACGGATGTCTTATTTATAGACAGGTAAACATGTGTGTTGGCTTCATTACAAATGCAACCTTCACCCAGATATGCTGGTTTTCCTAGAATACAATATTTTCAAACCACAAAGTCAGTATCTATGTGGATGTTATCTGGTTGTTCTAACTGTTTGGAGCTCTGGAGTATGAACATACTTGGTGAAGACCTCCTGCCCCTTCCTTCAGGCTGTCTGTCGTCTTTTCCATTAGTTTTGCTTTGTTGTTTTGCTCTCTATCATCAGTGCTTCAAACTCGATAGAAGAGAAATGCAACATATCTCTCAGAGCAGTTTGCACTATCAATAGGATACAGCAGCTTACCTGTTTAACAGCGTAAAGGAGGCGACCGTAGCAGTACATCATGACCATCACAGGGATGACCAAGCAGAATATGAAGAGACAGATGATATAGGATGTGGACTTGGCTGACTCAGAGGACCAGCGTACCGAACAGCTTGTACCTGCACCTTCTACCCCGTAACTGCTCCAACCGATCAGAGGTGGCACGGTCCAGACCAGGGAATAAATCCAGGAACCGCTGACTGCCAGCAATGCCTTCCGGTAGTCAGCACTGCGCTTGTTGCACAGGGTGAGAGTGCTGTAGCGTTCATAGGACAGGACAGCCAGGGAGATCAGGGACACAATGCCTGCAATGAACCAAGCAATTTAAATGCTTACTTTCATTATTTGGTGCAGTATCCATTTTAAACCCCAAGAAATGAGATGCTTTTCTCACTGTTACATATTTGAGGCAACAGTGAAAACTATTTCCATTATTCTCTATGCTTAAATCCCCACTGGACCTGGTTGCTCTGTCTGTCATGTCAAATTTTGTTTCACTCGTATTTATCTTATATTGGAAGATTTTCATACTTGACAGCTATTCCTCTTCTGGGCAGGTTTTTAGATTTAGCTGTTTTAGTATTACCCAGGGGAAATCCATTTTCTACATGAACTAATAAAATGTTGAAAGATTCCCTTGCTAAGAAATACTCAGTTCTTAACATCCATGAGCATTTTCAAATATTGCATTGACTTTTATACAGGCAGGAGGCTTTATATTCAAGATTGGGAGCCCAAAAATGAAAGAAGCTTTTGCACTTCTGCCCCACCAGCTAGATATAGCTTCAGTTCTGACCACTTGTATATGGAAACAACAGACAACCCTTGGCATGAGTGTGATGTGGCAGGTTGTAACTTTATTTACACATACATCACATAATGAGTCAAAAAGTGATTTAGGTCAATACTGAGCTCTAGGTGTTGGAGACCAGTTCTATCCTCCAGTGGAAGATTCAAAAATCTGGGTTGTAGGACATTTCCACTCTCTCTTTCAAGGTTCAGGGTCCTGACCCCCTCCACAAATCTTTATGGATTTGCATGGCAGGTTCTTAGCCATGACTCAGTGGGGGGGTTTTTTTGCTATTTCCTATGTTTTTGTTCTCCTTGCAGCTTCCTTAGAGTTCTTGGTGACACAACACTGGATACCACTTCCCAGGATTTATGACAGAAGGAACTTGTCGGAAGAAATTTAACACCATCTTTTCCCATGGATTACAGGCCCCTCCTTTTGGTCCTGCAAGATGAAAAACCTGAATAGACCTATGTCAGTCCAGCTCTTTCCAGGAATTTTTCTTCTTGATCCTTGCCATTAATAACAGTAGCATAGAGATCTAGCCTGCCAAAATTCTCTGGTTTTGAGCGGTACCTACTTCCAGCAAATCCGTTAACAAAAAAGATGATCTTCAGAGGAATCCACAGCTGTAATCCATTTTTGCCCCCATTTAACTGTCAGCTTTTCCTACAGCTCCTTCACAGGTGCGGGATGGAGGTGAGTCAGAGACTCCCGTGGGGATAGCACTACTCTGTCCCGTACCTGGGCAAACCCCCCCCAAACCCACACAGGGCACAGCAGGATACTCTCCCCAGGCACAGCATTTTGCTTCTCTTTCCCCCACAACTCAGTCACTCATTTCCTAGTTAGCTGGATGCTTGCGCAGCTATTCCTGCCATCCTGACAACAATTTGCAGTTACTTTGTGCAGAGCTGGGTATGGCAAAGGACCCAGGGGGAATGCAAGCACTGCTTGCTGCAATAGGATGCCTCAGGGGAAGAGAAGGAAAAAGGGTGTGAGGAAAAGGCAACTTTTGATGAAGAAAACATCTTTCTTGTTACAAGAGCCTGCTAAATTATTTTCTGTCTATTACTGGGAAGTCAGACCCAAAAAGTAGATACACTTACAGCTGTAAAATGACACAGCTCCACTAAGTTCAACTGAATTATACAGTTTAAGAGTCTTAACTTTAAACCTATTTTAAGACTAGACTATTTTAGAGGCAGTGGAGGCTTTCTGATCATCCCTCATCTAATCTGATTTCCCACATAACACAGCTTTTGAAAGCCCTTGGCCATAAGTCCTGCATTAAACACATATCTCAATTTAGAAAAAAATAGCGGGTTCTGAATTACAGACTCAAGAACAAAGAATCTACCACTCTCTTCTCACTTCCAGCCCACACTTATTTATCTTCACTTTCTCAGCATTGCCTCTTTCCATGCTTTTATCTGCTTGACTAAAGAGCTTCTTGCTATCAAAAACACTTAGCTCATGTAGGTACCTAAGGCAAAAATCCAGATTTTATATTTGAAACTTAGGCCTCAGTAAGGCGGTATAGATCTATTCATGCATTTCAAATTAGACCATCATGGACTCACAGCAAACAGTCTTGGGAACAAGAAATCTCTCCCCTCACAGCTGAGGGCTCTCCAGCAAGGTTATATTATTCTTGCTTTACCTCTGATGGCAGCTGAGGGCACAATGTCCCTATTTTGATGAGATGGCAGGTGAGATGTACTTTTGTTGAGAATATCCTACAGTCTTGTGGGTGCGGTGTTGCTTCGAAAACCCAAATGAAGTATTCAAACTTCCCTAGCTCAGGGCCCTGCTTCCTGGACGGCTGCGTTAGCCGTTGGGCTCTCCGGTCACGTCTGGCTGCCAGCACTGCCTGCTCGTCCCCGTGGCTGTGCTACTGCCCAGCAGCTTCTCACGGTTTATATTGTCACGATTTACAGCAATCATTTACACTTCTTCACATTTTTGCCTACTGCCTGATGTGAGAAAGATGCTCAGCTTTTCTCACGCTGGTATTTATGATGGATGGCTTTATGGAGTGGATCTGAAGATAACTGGCCATGAATGCAGTATTGCTTGCTCTGAGCCAAAGAAGAGTCCTGTCTTTAACTGGCATAGAATTAATGCTCAGTTATTAAATTAGGACCATGGCGATGTCAGTAAAAAATAAATCAAATATTAGCAGTCAGACAAAACCACAAAAGTTTCATTTAAATTATAGCAAATCATTTTTCTTAACTACACAGAAGAAGATTAGAGACTCTTAATTACACACCTTGGCAGGAGCCATTTCATCTTTACTCACCTTTTATTATTGAGTTCCACTGACATGACACAAACTACATTTTTCTCTGGAGGACAAAAACTGTGATATATGGAATCTCAAACCACGAAAGCTCAGAAAACAGTCAATATTCATCTTTTTCTTTTTGTCACAGTAAGACTTTAAGGTCTGTGCTATACCTGAACTACTTAATATCACTGAAATTAACACCACTAGGTATTGACTTCTAATGCTTTCAAAACAACAAGGGAAAAAGAGGAAAGCACTGAAGGGGTAGTTCATAAGAGATATTAAAAGAATTCAATGCGGCTCATATGGTTAAAATATACTAAACCAGGCTAACTAGAAAAATTACAAATACTTTGAAAGAACAAAACTGGTGCTTTGAAAAACAGAAAATGATGAAATTAAGAGCCATAAAAAAAAAAAACAAAAAACTTTTTTTCCAACAGTGAGATACGTTCAATTGAACTGGCTGCGAGTAACGAAAACACCTATCACCCAGATGAGGAAGAAACAAAACCAACAGAGGCCATGGCAACCCTCTCTCAGTCTACTTAGTGTGACCTTGCGCAGCGTACACAAAGTCAGAAGACGTGCCCGGACCCTCTACACCCCAACACTGCAGCTCCACCCAACCTTGCTGATGAAGGGGCTTCACCTTAACATGGAAGCCAAGACTGGACAAAACCAATATAGGATGCACATCAAGAAATAGCCCTATTCCAATATTGTGGTAGATTATCAGCTCCAATGTCTCTATTGGCTAAGAATATCGTCAGCTTTTTAATTTAAAAAAGTAATTTTTTTCTAATCTCACTCCTTTATCAGTTCAATAGCTGAATCCTGGGAAGATACCACTATCATTTGATCAATTAATAGCAGATATACAGGCCTAATTTGTTGGACTGAAACAACATCATTTCATAACAAAGGCAAAACCAGGTTTTGCATCAGTATTTAGTTTGACACTGTGTCGAAGTAAAAAACAGGGATCAAGTGTGTAACAGTTAGTGAATGAGCTTCCAGCAAAAAAAAATGATGATTGCCTTGCCCTTTGCATGCCTTTCAATAGCATCCAGTATGATCTTCTCCATAATTTTTCCAGGTACTGAGGTTAGACTGTAGTTTCCTCGGACTTCCCTCATGCCCTTCTTGTAACCCGGTTTGGATAAAGTAGAATAAAGTTTCTCTCTTTTCATTGTGCCTCCTGTTTTTGTATATCAGAGTTTTCTTAATGTCATATGCACTTAACTGTTGTGACCTTTGCCAGAAATTCTGCAGTTATCTGGTATTCTATTTCACACCCTATCTATTGCAGCCATAGGAATTAGTGAGAATCTCAGCTTTAAAACAAAAAGCTATTAAATACTTTAGAATTATGGCTGAGGAAAAGACTTGAATGTAATCTCCATAGTCTTAATAACCAGAAAACAAATTAAAAAAATTAATGTAAGTTATAAAAAGAAGAAAATAATTATAATTTTAAAGCTAATCACAATGCTTTATGCCAACATTTCATTCTTATTTTGCAGAAACATTTATGACTGGGTAGACTGCGTATATTAATTTCAAATGAGTAATGTTTTCTAAAATTGCAACAAAATTAAGTTCAGGAATTGCACATCTAAATAGAATTTGCCTCCAACAAATATTTAGGGCCTCAAGCTGGTACCTAGCAAAATAACTCCACAGGAGTCAATCACAGTGAGAAATGTAATTTGTTCCCCCAACATTTCATGCATATACAGGAACAAAGCTAAGGTTCTCACTGAGCAGTACTGAAAGATGACATAAAAATCCACTGCAGATTGCATTACAGGAACAAATAATTATTCAAAAATTAACCATGGAAGTAAGTGACTCTGAGACAAGCCGGATCTGAGGCATGAGCCTTTTCTACACAACAATTAGTTGTAGTGAGTAGAGTGCAAGAAATTAAATTTCAAGTCATAAACTAGGACAGGCATCCATTTAGAGGACTACCATCTGAGACATTATCTTTTTTTTTCATTTTATTTAAAGATCTGTACATTTCTTCCTGGCAGCACAGCACAGAGTATGACTCTAGGTGAAGGACACAGCAAATCACTGTTTTGTTCCAGTGAGTCTCAACTAAGAGCATTACATTTTCGTATTAGTTTTTGCTGTTTTACACTGCTCACTGATGTAGTAATTGGAAATGGGATGCAGCTTGCCGATGGGCTGTAGGTTGTGAAAAACTGCGAATC